ACCATTGCCAAACAGGAATTGTAAGGTCCTTGACTTCACCTCAGAGAGTTTTCACAGGGACTGTTGGTAGCTGTCTACAGATACAACTGAAAGATAGTCTGTGGTGATAACTTGGAATTAAACCCTTGCTAGAGACCCACTGGTAAGCCAGTCACTGCCTGCTCTAATTTGAAAAGCATCATTTTACCTCCTGGTAAAGTCCCCACTTTCTATTCAGGTGAGACCACCTGGAGCTAAATAAAACCCCAAAATTATAAGCATATATTCCACGAGACAGTCACAGGATTTTACTTTGATTCCTGAAGAGGCACTGAAGGTAACTGTGTGAAAAATGAGAAAGAAGGACTAGAGATTCTGGGTAAACCTGAAACACCAGTTAAGGCTAACCTTCATGACTACAGCTGTGAAGCAAGAGCCTAACTACTAAGGCAGAATAACTTGTTCCAGTGAACATTGTTAAGACATGTTGATGGGTAAGGGAGGAATAAAAACGTTCACCTGTGAACCCAATCTTGTATCATCACCTCATGCTAGTTACCTGAAGCCAACCAGAAGCAGCTGAGGAACTAGCGTCCAGGTCTGGATACAGTCAGTATTATTCTTATTTATTATTCGTATGTCGTAAAAGAATGGGCTAGTGTCACCAGTGATACCGGGCACCAGGAGGTGAAGATCCTCAAGGATCTTCCTCAAGGACCATAAAGAGGCACTGACTGGACAGGATTAGGGAAAAGAGGGGGAAAATTTATATTATTAAATATATTTAAGCAGTGATTCAACCCAATAGAGCTTTTTGTGTGAAACTGGGATGTATAGTACTACTCAACAATGGTTGCGTACCTCCAGCATTTTCATGAAATGTTCATAAAGAGAAATGGGAGATGATCTTGAGAGGGACTGAGCAAAGAATCTCCAGTTTTTCTACATTACATCCATTGTCTGGAAAGATTCAAACATGGAGAAACAGACAGTTTCATTGGTGTGATTTTTCCCACAACTGGTAGCTCAAAGTCTGGATGCTCAGCAAATCTGAATTGTTTAAAATTTTGAGAATATCAAGTGTTTCAAGGCAACTATTTTCAATGTCTGTTCTGAAGCATAAGGAGTTGATTACTCAATTAAAACTGACCTTAAGTGAAATACAAAAAGAGGTTGCAGAAACTAGTGTTGATCTCCAAGTACTAAGGAAAGCAAACTAGTCTGGGTGGATGAATATGTTATGCAATGTAAAGACATTCTGAATCCTTGGCACATGCGAAAGCCTTGTACTACAGGTTTCTAAAAAAAGTCAAGTATGCTTCCTGTTAGCTGAGAGGAAAAAGGCCTTAAACAAACATGTTCAAAGCGCTCCTTTGAATAACTGTGGTTTGCATCTAGGAATACTGCATAAGTACTTGCTGGACAAGAATCAGAAGAACTTTGAGAGTATGTGTAAAGCCGTAAAAAAAACCCCATATTACACATTTGGTGTTGCCTTCAAGCGTTCCTTGAAGTGGGCATTTACTAAATCTCCCAGAGACTTGAAGCAAAGCTCCCTCAACTAGTAGTAAAGCTCCCAGAGATCCGAACACAGATAGATTAGTAGGTGGCAAAGGTGTAAATTTCAGTTTAAAAAAAGAATTCAAAAAGCATGCCACTGAAAATACATGATTGTATGATAGGTCAATACAAGTTGTGCATATATGCATGAAACTGCACCTGTAAATGTGTAAGCTTTTCTAAAACTTTGGGAGCAGCAGGCTAAAACATTTTGAGAAGTCAACAAGTTCTTGATTTTTAAATTAGCAGTCTTATTTATGATCATATGACTTACTCAACTCAGGTCTTATTTATGATCATATGACTTACTTCAACATACACTAACTACAAGTGTTTGGTACTATGGAATTAAAAAAATAATTAAAATAACCTTAGGCAGTAAATTGAGTTCCTTCATATACTACTCAGAAGATGAGAAAAAGCTATAAAATGATCAGAAAATAGCCTCATCAGGCAGGAGTTCTTCCAAACTCCATCCCTTTGCTTCTGCCACAGACAACTTGTGGCCACTTTGTCATCGTGCCATGTCTCTTGCAGGGAGAAAAATCCCCTCTGCTGCCACTGCAAAAGGTAGAATTCATCATGGTTTATTGTGGACTTCTCTGCCACTACATGTCCAAGGGAAATATTTACAGGACAAACACTTGTCTGCAATGGATGGATTAATTTGATAATGGGATTGAAACTCCTTTCTCAACTCACCCCTAAAACACATTACTCAACTTACTGTCAATGGCAACAGAAGCACCAGCTGGCCATATTCTGTATTCCCACCCCACATACACACAGGCACCCCTTCACATCCAACAGGAGTCATCTTGCAGCCTCTGCACAAACAGTAGGCTCCCTTCTCACTAAAGATCTCACTTGTGTCCTCCATACACATCTCCTAAGCCTCTGCCTTTAAGGTGCTCTCACACCACCGAGTGCTAACGTAAAAGTGTTAAAACTAAAGACATTTTTAACTATCATAATCTATCTGTATATTTGTAAATAAAGCAGAGGAGCTACTGATTTGTTACCACATGCAGTCTATACTACCTGGAAGGAGTTTCACCAGTACTAACTAGTACTTGTCTAGACAGTTTCTGGTAATGGGGCATGGATCCCATTTGCAGCAGGAGTATGGTCAAAATTACGTTCTGAAGACAACATTTATGTAGATATTTTGGAAATAGTGTGTGCTGGAATCATATTCAATGGCCAGTTGGGGTGTAGCCACCTGTTTCAAAGTAAAAGGCAGCCCCCACACTGTGGAGGATGTATAGATGTAGCCACTGAGGCAACAAAAAAAAAAACTTGTTCTTTACTTCAGGCAAGCACTACTGAACCAGTATGAAGAGGCTGCAGACTGCAGGCAGGGCTCCCTGCTGGAGGTGCTCTTTACTCTTTGAGTCATGACATTCTGAAGATGCTGAGAAAGTCTTCCAAAACTGAGACAGTGTAAATAGGAAATTTAACTTTGGACAGGGCATGCTGTAGCATCCAGACAAAATAGCTGTAAACAGGAGAACTGAATATGACATAAGAGGGAAGATGAGCCTCACTGTGGAAAGCACTGCTTTGAAATACCTGGAGTGATCATAATGAGGTATCTATTAAAAAGCTGTCACTGAGTATGGTTGTAGTATCAGGAGATTCAGAAAGTAACACTGAACTATTTCAACATGGCTATAGTTGCTAGTAATCATAAAAATATGATTATGCTTGAGAAGGCAAGAAAGGCAGCAAAGACAAAGAAAATCCACAAAAAGACAACAGCCTGTGATCTTGCTTTTGACAGTATGATCACAGTTCCTATCTCCTTCTTTAAGATGTTACAGCTTAAAGGAATTATTTAAAGACAGCTATGGGAAAAACAAAATTAGGCGAAGCTAAAACACATGCCCTTGGTACATCAACCCAATCATGTTGCTTGAGAGAGCAACTTCTTCCAACTTCTTCCCTGCTTTTGCTGATCAGCTTTATTATCCTTTTCAGGTTTCCTGGGACAGGTCCAGCATCTCCTCAGGAACAGAGGTTAATAAATGAATGTTCACCACCAGCTAGGAGGCACTTTCCAAGTGACAGCTCCTTCAGAATTTCTGCTTTGCATCTCTCAAGCTACGCAGCCCTTTTTTCCCTTCAGGGTTAGTAAATGGCTCTGACCACATCCCAAAGCTTTGCAAGAAATTTACTCTCAATTTTGAGCAAAAAGTAATCCTTCTGTCTACAAGACCAATTTGCCAGTGCACGTCATTACAACCTGTATCACTCACTCGTGCTGACTGCATGAAATAGGTATTTTGGCTGAAATTTCTTGCCCTGCATTTACTGCTGAGCCTGGTCCTCCTGGTCCTGCCGAGGTTACTGGTGGTGAAGTGGCAGGTGTGCTCCTCCTGTGACTCACCTCAGTGGCACCCGGGTAGTGTCTGGGTGTGTAAGCAGGGCTTCCGCCGAGCCCTGCTGTCCCTTGGGGCTGTCTGCAGAGGAGCTCGGAGGGAAGGTGCCTCAAACCCAGCGCATTGAAAGGAGGCAGAAGCTGTAGGTTTTGTGGTCTGACTTTTCCAACAAACAGCTGTTGCTGCCTGTACCTAAACTACTGCGGTGGTGCACGGACAGATCTTCCTTCGCACTGAGCTTGGGGGTCCGCAGGGACAGGGGTATCACATTAGCAATTAAAAGCAAATCCACGAAACCCCTCCTGCCCAGTTATCCTGCTGCTGTGGCAGAATCCTGTTTTCCGCAGGGAATGGCAGCATTTCCCTCTTCCCCGCTGGAAAGCGAGCGCGCGTCAAACTTCAGGACAGATTTCCCAGCTCTGGTCTCTCACCACCTGTAGACCCAGTTTAGGATGTCAGCTGTTGTAGGCCAGTACTCTATGTGTGAGAAGTTGTGGCTTGATTTGTCTTTTTTCGGTCCCTTTTTTGAGGAATCCCCTGGTCTGTTGTGGGACTGAGCTTTTCCCTGCCAAAACTCGCAGTCCCTGCCAGTAACTCCCGTTGAAGCCAAAGTACACCGGGGGTGCGGGGCTGGCAAACAGCCGAGGAACCCTTCCGAGGTGGATTCAGTGACCGCGGGAGATCCAGCCGGGCTGAGTCACCGGGATGACAGCGTCACTTGTCACAAGCATGGAGAAAATCATGAAGCAGAACACCACGACATCCATTTAGTAATTTGCTGCCCTTAATGAAACTGGATAATTATGGGCAAAGGTGTTGGCTATGGCATGGCTAATACTTCTTTTTTACTACTGTTCTTGCTGAGCAGGCTGGTAAGCGTTCACCTTTCCGCCGCGGTGACGTTCAGCGTTGCTGTGAGGCACAGACACGCACCTTACAAACAAAGCTCCCCCCGCCCCAGTGGTACCGCCGCGCCTCCCCGGCCCCGCTGCGCGCGGTGGTTGGTGCCGACAGCGGCGCATGCGCAGAGTGCGTGCGGCGGCGGCGGGCGGTGCTGCGGGACCGGCGGGTCGGGCAGGGTCGGGGCCTCCCCGGGCGGGTCGGGCCGGGCTGGGCCGGGCCTGGCGCTCCCCGGGCGCTCCCGGGGGCCGGAGAGGGCAGTCTCCGAGCCGGGCAGGGCCGTCCTGCCATCGCGGGCAGCGCTGTGGGTGAGGAGCGGCGGGTGCGAGCGGGGTTTGTATGCCGGGACCAGTCCTCCCGGTCTGCGTGAGGGGCTCGGCGGGGGCGGGACGGGGCCCGGGGTGTCGGTGGTGTCTGTGCCGTGTCTCTGCGGGGGCGGAGGAGCTGACACGGCCCTGCTGGAGCCTGGGCTCACGGCAGTGGGTCGCGCTGTTCAGGGGCTGGTCGTGCCGTGGGATCGGTGTGTTTTGCCCCGGTTTTCCCCCGGGAGATGAGGGAAGGAGTGCTGCTGCGACCTCAAGTCGGTCTTGCCAGGTGTGGGCGTGGGGTGGGCGAAGGGCCTTCGGGGCTCGCAGCCCGCCCCCTCCTTAGAACGGGACGCCTGAGCGAAGGGAAGGGCGAGCAGGTGCCTGCGGGATCCGGGCTGTGGTGGTGGGATTTACTGCCTGCTGAAGTAAGGCCGGAGATTCTCACTGGGTGCTGTGCCTTCGCTGCTTTTTGTAGCTTTTCCATCTGGTTCGCACCAGACTGCCAAACGCGTAGCGGTATTAAGCATTTACAGGCTGCGGTAGGTCTCGTGGTCATGCTGATGTCGCCTGTATAATTCATAAAACGAGCTGGCATTCAAATCTTTCAGTACTGCCTGGTTTTTCTCTCCCCACTTATCCTTGTTTTTGAACTACAGTGTGTTCAGGAAGTTTCAGCTAACTTGAGACACTTGGTGCTGGGCTGTTCAGTTAATTACACTGATGTTGCTAATAATATATAATAATGTTGCTTGTCTGCATTCCATAGTCTTTTTTCATTTTTGAATATGTTTTCTGTTGGAAAGTGGCTTAATGTTAAAAACTGATTGCAGAGTCTTTTTTTAAGCCATGATAATGACTGTTCCAGTGTAAGTGGTCCTGCTTACTGCATTAAGTTTCTGTAGTTTTATGTCCTGGATCTGTATTTGAGATACTGAATTGCACCTAAAGCCATAGCAAATGCTGGAAAATCAGTGAAGGAAAAGCAGGGGAGTAGTACAATAACTGCACAATACTGTTGAAATAAAAGTTTCATAAGTAACAAAACAAGATTTGCTTCTTATATTTTATCTTCCTGTTTCTTGCCTTCCTACTTGACCCTCTTCTGCTTTTGCTTCAGTGCATTGCTTTGTACTAGTACAGATTTCACAGGGTGGTTGTTAATCCGAAACACGTTGCTCAAGTTTTTTTTGTCTGTCTACCTGTCTTTGGGATGACTGCCTAATGGCAACAGGACCAAAGTCATAACTGCAGTGGATGTGAGTTCTCTGTGGTTTAGAAGCTGTGTATATGGATGACTTGAAAATTCATTAAATATTTTTCTCCTTGTTCCAGATGGAAGAGTTCAAGGTTTCTGGTTTACGTAACAGCAGAGGCTGAATAGGCATGAAGGAGACTATAGTGGGAATGAGAAGTGTCAAAAGAGAAGAAATGAGTCCTACAAATGATGATACAGTGTTTGGGACCATTTTTGACTGGGACTATCTCTTATGGGAAGTTCGTTTGACAATTATAGCTGCTGGTTTTTTAATCTACTTGGGAGTATTTCTTCTGTCTCACTGGTTGTCTTCATGGACAAGTACCACTTACCGTGCCTTGTATGCAAAGGAGAAGGTGTTTTGGAATATGGCAGTCACACGTGGTGTGTTTGGACTTCAGAGCTGTGTTGCTGGGTTATGGGCTTTGCTCATAGATCCCGTTTTTCATGCTGACAAAGTGTATTCACAGCAAAAGTGGAGTTGGTTTAACTGTTTAATAGCTGCTGGATTTTTTTTGCTTGAAAATGTAGCAGTCCATGTGTCCAACGTTGTTTTTAGAACATTTGATGTGTTCTTGGTAGTTCATCATTTGCTTGCTTTTGGTGGCTTGGCTGGTCTGGTAATTAATGTGAAATCTGGACATTATCTGCCTTTGATGGGAATGTTGCTGGAGATGAGTACTCCCGCAACGTGTATCTCCTGGATGCTTCTGAAGGTAAGAATGTGATAATTTTCAGATTATGATTGTATATCAGTTTTTGTGCATTTTACTTGTCCATATAGGTTTGTCTGGATAGCTTCTCATAAAACTGTGTTAATCCAACTGATATCCATGCTATTGCCATACCTGCTTTTGTGTAGTGATGGTATTTCTGCAGTCCTCCATGTAGGTTTCTGTGTGGTGCTGTGTGCGTGTGCACTGTGAGATGGTATAGATGTGTACTGAGTTTGGGATGCCATATATATGTGGAATATCATAGCACTATGTGGAAAAAATGCCTGAGAGCATGTGTTTGTGAAAGCTGGATATTTGCATTAGTTCTACAGATTCCTCAGTTCCTTATCTTGAAGTAACAATCTCACTTCTGCATACTTTGTGTTCTTGTTTTTCTAGGCTGGCTGTGCTAACACCTTTTTCTGGAAGGCAAACCAGTGGGTGATGATCCACCTGTTTCACTGCCGCATGATTCTTACTTACCACATGTGGTGGGTGTGTATTTTCAATTGGAATTCTGTGGTAGAAAACCTGGGACTTCTTCACTTCATTGTTTTATTCTCGGGATTATTTGCTGTTACAATAATACTTAACCCATATTGGACATACAAAAAAACTCAGCAACTCCTCAGCCCAACGGACTGGAACTTTGAAAATAAAGCAATGGAAAATGGAAAATTAAATGGTGAAACACAACAAAAGAAGAGGATATAACACTGAAGCAGCAGTTTCCTAGTGGGGTAACACAAAAGTACAATGCGATGTAATTCCTTGCATGTGAACTAGAAACTTTTTCAAGAAGCTCATTGACACAGTGATTCGTTGCTGGTAGCATTCTGTATGCATCAGAAATGTTGAAAAGCATTGTTTGTGTTTCATACGTGCATACACATTAGAACTTCACCCTGTTAGTTATGAATTACGCCAACAATTTTGTCAAATTGGGCAGTATTTCATAATTTAGTAGTGACATGCTCCCTAATGGCAGCCTTTGTCCTGATGCTTCAAAGTGACTTCACAGTTGTCTATTAAGCTCAGCTTGAATCAAGTTTAGCTTGAACTTTATTTCACATGTGGCAGAGATGCTGATACTGGAAATTATGTTGTTTATTAAGATCAATTATGACCCAAGTTAGGTATGCATAGATACCTAATTCCTGTGTGCCAGTGAATCATTCCAAGTGGCTGAGCTGGTCAGGGGAAGAATGCAGTCATAGCTTAGGTTTCAGTTTTGTTGTTCGTTGGTTTGTGGGTTTTTGTTTGGTTGGGGTTTTTTTGTTTGTTTTTTTGTTTGTTTTTGTTTTATTTTATTTTATTTTTTTTATTTCAAGTTCACTTGAGGAACAGGAAGATAATTGTTTGAGTGTTCACTGTCAAAGTGAGTTGTAATTCCAGGTTGCCCTCAGTATAGGAGGAGTTTGTATCCACCAAAACCATGCATGTGGGGATGCACACATTTGTTGTATGTGTAGACTAGCTAGATAATCATAGTAATCCCTTCTGGAATTGAAATCAATGAAATACAATTGGCAACAACAGGATGTGACTCTGCTTCGTCCTTCAAGACTGCTGCTTGATTAGTAAAATTATTTTATTTGTAGACCCCACTAGTTCCATTAATGCTGCTGTTTTGGTTCCTCTTATTTTTGGAAATGCACTTAGTTTTAGAGGATTTTAGAATCTGAGATGGCTCCTCTGTGGAGGAAAGCCCGGGTCACCTCCTGTAGAGTTCAGTTGTTTTTTTAGTGTTCTGATTTACCTTTGAAGAGCATACAAAATGACACTAACAATCTTTTGTACTTTATCTGTCACATCACAAAAAGCTGTCCTTGACTTGAGTAATTGGGTTCCTTTTTAGATAGGGACTAATGGCAATGGATGTTCTCCCACTTAAAATATTGGTCTGATGATTCCTGGGTTAAATGTTGGGAAGTGGATTAAGGGATAAAGATCATGATAGAAGAGAGTGACGCCTAGTGGCAGGAGAATGACAAAGATACTACTTTTGGTGCACAGAACTAGTAAGATAAAAAGCCTCTTAATTGGAACTGTGTGTGATACGACTGCTACACAGATTTATTTTGCAAGGCATAAGACTGGGCAAGTGCAAGCTGTGAAGAATTTTAGGTCAAGCCATGGGTTAGAGACTTAGTGTACTGATCTGTGGTGGAGCATATTGTTTTAAAAGTGTAAGGAAAGCACTCTTTGATGTAAACAGTCCCATTTTATTAAGTTTTAGTGGCAGTGTCTTTGATTTTGTTCTAAGTGAAAGGAGGAAACTAGTGGTCAGGTTGTTGTGTTCCCTGATTCACTCTGTGTGAGCACAGAATTGAATTGCTGCTCTATGAGGGAGAGGAAACATGTTTCTGTTAGGTCACAAATGTATGGCCAGATCCTGTTGATAATGATGAAGTGGTGAATATCTGAAACTGCCCATTCAAAACTATGCTGAGAGGGTGACCCTCAGTAGAGAGGGCCAGTTGTTTTATACAGCAACTCTGTCTGTTATTCTGCTTATACTCAACAGAGAACTTGGAGCTGTCTTCTTACTCCTAAACTGGGCAAAATGAGGTTGTCAAAACACTGCAATGTCACCTGTCTGGGCACCATTCTATAGTAAAAAGAGTTCTCTAAAGCTTGAAATGATATGCCTCTCCTGAGGATTTGTGTGGGGGAGAGTACTGTTAAAAGTACTTTGGAAGAAAGGAGAGAGATGAATTCCTTGGAAATGGAACTGAAAAATGTGATCTGAATGCATATGTAGCAGAAACCAAACCTCACTTCCAGGAGTTCCAGGGAGAAAGGTAGAGGGTAAGTCACCAGTGACCAGATATGGAAATGACGGTGTCCTCTATGAAGCTTAACATTTGAAGGTTTGGATTCAATAAAACAAGGTAATAATTGTAAAAGTCCCAACTACAGGATTCTGAAGAATCCTAACAGAAAATGGAAGCATCAGAAGTAGTTTGGGCCAGGTGTGTAATTCTTATAGTGGCTAGCTAAAGGAGGGGAAGTTCTATGTGCTAAAATAAAAAAATATGGAGAGTGGGAGTTAGTAGTGAATTTGTGACTGAAAAAAGGAGACAGATGGAAATTTATGCCATGGTACCTGATGTCTAAAGTTTAATATTTTGTATTATTAATTTGTTTAATTTTATTAAGTGGCTTTTACATATTTCATTAAAATTATGTTTTTATCATCATAATGCAGTCTTTTTAGTTTGCATCTTAGTGTGAGTTTTTTCATGCAAAGAGTGTTATGGAATATCTTAAATCTTTTGCATGTCTTAACTGTATAATGAATAATACCTTGGAACACCTGTTAACCTAAACACTGGTAGACCTTCTAGAACAAGAAAGCTATGCACTAAAAGAAGTAACAGCACTCATTTGTGTTGGTTTGGTGGGATTTTACAGGCCAGCTAGAAATACAACATGACAAAAATAGACAACCTTTCTTCTTCATCTTGATGTCTTAGAGTTGGAGTTACCAGTTGTGTTACACAGAGCCTCTTTTTTTATACTACAATATAAAAAGACCTTTTACAAAGGCATGTAGGGATTGGACAAGGGTGAGGGCTTTAAACTGAAAGAGGGAAGATTTAGATTAGATATTAATATGAAATTCCTCATTATGAGGGTGGTGAGGCACTGGAACAGTTTGTCCAGAGAAGCTGTGGATGCTCTGTCCCTGGAGGTGTGTTCAAGGCCAGGTTGGATGGGGCTTTGAGCAACCTAGTCTAGTGGGTGTTATCTGCCCATGGCAAAGGAGTTGAAACTAGATGATCTTGAAGGTGCCTTTCACCTCAAATAATTTTGTGATTCTTCACTGCCTTTTGGCTGCTTCCTTCAGGAGGATTTTCTGGTTTATTATTGTGAATGACTGTCTTATTGCTCTGAAACAAGCCTGAAAAAGTTCTCAAACTGAGGGTTTTGGTGTCTAATTACTCTTACAACTAAGTACTGCTTTTCAACCCAAGGGTAGACTAGCCATAGCTTGCTTGTAAATTTTGTTGATGTGAAACTAATCCCAGTCCCCTTGGGCCTCTTACATGGCCTCATCCACAATCCCATGTAGAAAAATTCACAGTCAGCTTTAGTAGTGGCTGGATCAGGTCACAAGGTTTGCTGCTGTGGATTTGGAAAACTCTTGCATAATATGATTTTGGATGAATTTTTTGTTTGCCAAGGTGACTGTTGGGGACTTGGTTCTGCTTTCTTGTTGAACAAGCTTATTTGAAGGAGTGCTGTTTGGAGCTTTTTTTTCTAAAAAAACACGACAACCCAAACCAACAAACTGTGGTGGGGGTGGGGGCGTTCGGTTGTTTGGTTTGGGGTTTTTTTAAAGAAAAATGTCTGATCTAAGACACCTTGACCAGGCATGTGGTTCTTACTGTCTTCAAACAACATTCCTAAATCACAGTTTGTGTTTTCCTCCGTTTGTGTCCTGTCATGTTTTTTTCCAAAACTTGTCATCATTTCCCCCCAGCCCCCCAATTTTTCTATAATATTTACTTGCAGCCCTCACATTACCATGGCAATATTTTTGTCCAGTAGTTTTCAGCATTTCCTGTCAGGCCCATCTTTCACTAAATAACCATGTCCAAATCTTTCAGTTTTTTTGCGTTTTCCTGAACACATTGATTAAATATTGATGTGATGTACAGTTATAAGAAACCTTTTTTAACCTCAGGGAGACTTACACTTAAAATGAATTTAGAAGTATTAACCAAACTCAAGTCTGCTCTTATACAGTGTAACATTTGCTGAATGGTACAGCATCTTTATGCTGTGTACATAAATAAAAGTATTTTATTGAATAGCTGTCTACTGTGAGTTTCATTTACTGATTAAAAAATGGTTATTATGTTTTACATGATATTTGTAGCTTAAACAGTTTTTGCAATGCATGCGCTAAAAAAAATGATTTGTTTGTTTTGAAGTGTTCTGTTAAAGTTGATAAAGATATATCGTACTTTTCAAATACCATATCTGTGGAAATGGCTATAAAACCTAGTAAACTAATGTTCCTTCACCAGCAGTTAAGATATTATTCCCATGAACTTGTTCAGAACACTAGAAGTTGTGGTATATATAAGTATGTATTAAAAAGAGTTAAAAACACATTCCTTCTGGCTTGTGTGTCTGAAGTGTGTGGTCCATTTTTGTATTAGCCTTTAACTGTGAAGACACTTCATTTGGTACCACATGACACACCATGGTTTAGTATGAACTACCAACAACAAAAACAACATAGACACAAACAAACACCAAAAACTTGTCTCATTGCAAAAAAATACAATTCTAAGCATTAAAAGTGTGTGTCTTGCATCGTGCTTTGCAGGAATTCATGATGCTTTTTCAGCATTGGTGAGTTAAAGGAACACAGCATCATTACTGGCATTTTAATTATTCTTATAAGAATGCACTGCGCAAGCAACTGGCTGGCTGCCTCTGCACTGAAGTCCCCCAGATTAATTGAAGCAGAAGCGAGACATTCATGTGTACAGCTCTGCTAACTAGAATGTGTGTGGGTACAGACTGGGATGAGAAAAACAATGTATAATAGTGTTTGTATGACTAAAGTCTCTTTTTTTTTTTTTTTTTTGGTAAAGAACCTGTAAAATTAATTTAAATGTTATTGATTTTTGCTATTCAGGTGTTTTCAATTAAAAGGTCAAATTTTACTTAGTAGTTCTTACTATATTTCCCAAAAAGTATTGGAGTACACTTAAGCTGACAGTGTTATTCAGCAATTACAATCTTCTGATCTTGTGTCATGGCACTGGTACTTAAGTTGGAACAAAAAAATACAAGCAGTGGTCATTAATTAAGTAAATTATGCCTGTTGCTGTAGTTTTCAGCCCCCAGATGGGTTTCCAGTGTTGGAAGAGATGGTTCATGCTCTGGATCTGATTGACTAATTAGTGTGTTCTGGTAGTGCCACAGAGCAGGAACAAGTGTTTTTTCAGCCTTCCTATTTTTCCCAAACTGAGCAGTTGACGACTGAGGTAGAATGGCAAAGATAGAGCAAACCTGCAAGAACATAGCTGTCCTTGTTTATAGCTCAAGATGGCAAACAGGCCAAGCTTGAAAGGAGTGTTGCCTGCTCATGTGTCCACAAATAAGAAGAAAGCATGGAAATTGGCTGTACCATTGCTTGCTGCTGTTGTGTGTATGTTCTGATGAGTCAGCTAGGGTCACTGCTGAGTCCTTAGGGATATGACCTGAGCAGAGAGTGGAAATTTAATACTAGTTTTATCAGATGCATTACTTCTGGTCTGATATATTTATTTCCTCATATGATTCCAGCTGCCTCTTCTTCCTTGACTGCTTGGCTCACATGAGTATGCTGTAAAGGCTGACAGTGTTTTCACCAATATGTCGCCTGATACTTACTGTAAAGACTTGAGAGGTTTTAGTACTGGTAATTGATTGTGGCAGCTCCAGGTACTCACTCGGCCTGACTTCTATATGGCTCTATAGATCTGCAACTTCTCTCTCCTGCTTTGCTGCTTCTGCTGCCAAAAGCAGTTTAACATGTGAACACTGCATTTTGTCACCAAAGCTGTGTTCACTGAAATTTAAGCATGGGAATTGCACAAAGCAGGCTACAAAATATAGCTGAGAAAGGACTAATTTTGTACAAGGCAGAGGGTTGACTTTGCTACATTTCTGGACCTTGCAGTTCTGTCAGGATCTTGTAAGCATAAATCAAGATTATAACCTTGATATAATACCTTAAAAAAAAAGCCATGCAGGCAAACTGTAAAAGTACATAGAGTGCTTTTGCATGGCAGTTTGCATAGAGTAGGCATAGAGCATCTAACGAGAGTTTGCTCATCTTGTTTGGTGGGTCATATTTACATGAAGAAAGTGTATCCTGGAAAGCAGCAGTAGCCTTGCTTAGGAGTCATAAAAATTAAATGCAAAAAAATAACCTAGGAGGCTTTGGGATGAGGTAGCTGGGACTGGTTGTTACGTTGTCCAACCAGGTTTCAGTTGGACATTGAATATGTAGTTTGTCCGATGCTTTAACTCTTCCTTTTTTTTTCTCAGGACCATATTGTTTTAAGGTATCATTGTGACACCAGTTGAGGCTAAGGTTAAGGAACTTGTTTTAGGACATCAAAATTCCCAAGCAATATATTGCCCAAAGCTGAAAGAACCTAAAGTCTGTTCTAATTTAAAGTAATTTATTCTTGTATTATCACTGCCTTTTTATCTTATGTAATTATTTTTACCCTGGAGACTCATTTGCATCTTCATGAGTACAAATCAATCTGCTCTTTTATTTTCCTAGCCATCCTAATACTCTTTGCTTGTCATTTTTTCCTCCTTGAATTCCTTTTTATTATAGGTTGCCAGCTTAGAGTTGTCCATAGCATTTGTTATAAAGTCTTCCCAGTATCTTGTATTACATTTGTACCTGCTTTCCACCTCTGGGAACAGCTCTGCTTCGGCCAAAGGCTGCATTTCAGGGTTGCATGACCTCAGGGCTTCATGGTTGTCTGGTGTGAGGAAATTCATTTAAGTTTTTACCTTCCTCAGCTTCAGAATGAAACAGAACCATCAAAGCACGGTGAAATAACTGAAAGTAGGAATTTTGTGTTATAGAAACAACTTGTGCATATGATTGTATGGTGCCCATGTGTGGGCAGTGGGGGCTGCATGGGCAGGGGGCTCTATGAGGAGAGGCTGGGGCTGCCCCATGCTGGACACAGATGGTTCCAGGCAGCTCTGACCTACCACAGCTGAGGAGGGACACCCTGGAGGAAACATATGTAAGAAAGGACAAAAATGCTGCACAAAAGTGAAGATCAGGGGAAAAAAGTGAGAGAAACAGCCCTGTGAGCACCCAGGTCAGTGAAGAAGGAAGGGGAGAAGTTGCTCCAGGCACCAGAGCAGAGATTCCCCTGCAGCCTGTGGAGGAGCCCTCAAAGGAGCAGGTTTATCCTGAAGGACTGCAGCCTGTGGGAAGGACCCACACTGAAGCAGCTGAAAAATGTAAGGAGGAGGAAGAAGTACAGGGAGGAGCTGTTATAGACTGACCCCAATTCCCATCCCACTGTGCCCCTCAGGGTGGTAGAGGCCAAGGACTTGGGAATGAAGGAATGATGTTGAACCTGGCAAGGAGATGGAGTGGAGGGGGAGGTGGTTTTACTTTTGTCTTTGCTACTCACCATCCCACTCTAATTTTAATTGGTAATAAATGAAATTTCCCCAAGTTGAGTCTGTTTGGCCCATGACAGTAGTTGCTAAGGAATCATTCTGACCCACACGGTTTCCATCTTATTTTCTCCCCTCATCCTGTTGACAAAGGGGAGTGAGAGAGTGTCTGGGTTGGGGTCTCTCTGCTGGTCAAGGTCAACCTATCACAAGAAGTTAATCTGTACTGGTATGCTCAGAACTGACAAACTCTCTCCCAGTAGTAGTGCTGGTGCTTCAGGGAGACCTGGAAGACAAGTCAGCAGTAGACAGCATATCAGAATATGAATAAGCAGTGCTTTTATAAAACCAAATGTTATTTTTGATGTAATAGTCTGAATTTAAGAAAATTGTGTGGCTTTTCTTTTAAAAAGTGTTGTCACTCGTCTGGTTTGGTAAAGGGAAGTAAAGGGCACCTGTAACTTTACAAGAGTCCAGCATGAATTCCGCAGATGCTCAAGTGAAACAAGGTTGTTGGATGTCCTGGCTTTGAGTGGTTTCTGAGGGATTACAGTAAGCAGATGACATACTCTCTTAATGGGGGACTCCTGAGAACAATAGGAGAAACAACTTCTGAATTTCCAATGGATAAATACTCCCTAGGAAAAAATGCCAGCTATATCAGCTGTTAAACAGAAGGAAAAACCTGAGAAGGTCTGGCTTTGCTGGAGAATGATAACCTAAGTTTTAGTTTCCTTATTCAGATTTCATGCAATGTTTTGGAAAGCAAGCCATAGGAGTGATGTCATATATCCTTAGGTGTCATAAATTTAGGTTTACATTAAACCATGCCAATTTCCATGGAGAGAGACAAAAGAGGCCCCATCTTCACAGCACTGTGTCATATGGGGCAAGGACACTGTCCAGTGTTGATGGTGTCCCTAAGATGCCCAGTACATGTACTGGAGTAGATGTATGGTATAGATGTATGGGGTAGCTGAACTATGTATAGTAGCTTGGAGGCTAGAAGTATCTTCGCTGAAGCCCCAGTAATCAGCAACGAGAATAACTAAATTCTGGTGAGGCCTCATGCAAGGATCACCAGGAAAATCAATTTAAATATCAGCTTCTTAGAATCTGGTTATAAAAAGCTTCATGCTAACAGTGGAAGCAGACATTATCTGCATTCTAATTATCAACAATTAATTATGGGTGAATAAAAATTTAATTTGTGATTGCAATTATTAGGATGCTAATTATTACTGCTAATATTACTGCCTTAGAAAATAGTAGGAAAGTGCAAGGTATTTTGGAAGTTAGTTCTTCTTTTTTGCAAGTTGATCTGCTATTGTTGGATTTGTCGAACAAGGTTTCCACAGTGACCTTTTGTTTGAATTAGAGAAGGATATTTACATATGGTCACCAGAATCAAAGAAGTGGTTGTCAAAGATCAAAAAGGTTCATAAAAGAACTCTAGGAAGGATTTGAATTTTGTCTCTCTAACAGTGAAAGGTAATTATGCAAGGGAGAATTTAATGCATGTAGTGAGCTGGCTGCCAAAAGGAGAAGGATATTGCTCGTGAATGGTATTTTTAATTACAGAATCAAACTAGTTGTACTTGGTCTAGATATGTGTCTGTTCTTTAACAGGGCCTCTAATGATAAGGAGTTA